ACTGATACCATAATCATCATAAAGAGTATTAAATTCGCGAATTGAATACATGTCTCACACAATAGACAACAAAAATTTAATTTATAGCTAAATAATTGGAGTGCACTTTAAGGCCCCGTATTCTAGCATCAAATGTATCGCAACTCTCATTATAACTCTAATCGCTTTCCAGAATATATTCCTCCAGAATAGGGATGACATTAATTCCTATACAATGCATACACTTTTCAATGAAAGCACTTCTCAGTGATAGTAAAGACATTAAAGACATTCATAGTAAGGAAGTGTCAAAACAAATGAACACTATTTTACTCAATAAAAGTTATTTGCAATGAAAATGAGTAAAAATAGTAAAAACATTCTGTTGATAAGAAATGGTCATAAAATCTTAAGATTAAAATATGTGACATATAGGTGCAAACATGACACATACCTGCATAGGTGTGCTGGCTGCAGATAGTGTCGTGAAGCCGACGATATCGCTGAAATAGATGGTGACGCTGTCGTACGCCTCAGCCCTCACGGACTCGCCTCTAATTAGTTGACTCGCGACCGACCTTTCCATCCATTCATTAAATTAATAATTATTTTGTTTCATAATTTATTTATCAATTGATTAATCAAAGTAATGGTCTTTTATTGTGAAATCTAAGGCATACTTAGGCAGCAATTGGTAGAGTAGGTCCTCAGCCTTGCGTTTCTCCTCCAAGTAATCGGAAGTCCTTTCCTGTACTATAGTCGGAGTGAAACCAAAATCACAATATTATTGCTTTTCTCACAAAATTACACAAAATTGTTTGACGTCTTTATTATAGGAAATTGGTTTTAAAGTAACTCAATAATAAATAAAATATGAGACAAAAGACATTTCAAAATTAAAACTAGGTATTAAATTACAACGAAAGTACATTTTTAATAAATTAACTAAAAACAAATAAAAAATAATTACATACTTTCCATAACGTTAATAACTAAAGTCTTTAACTATCTTGTAATTTATTTGAAAGATCACTTTTTTAATTTATAAAATATACTTTTAATGTGCAAATAAATGACTGGGTCATTATATTTTTGTAGCTATTTTTATAAAGGATAGACATGTAAGGGATGTAAGGGAAAGACGCCCAGACATTAAAACCAATAATAGACTAATAAATAGATATGTCTTAAAGGCATACCTAAAGACTCGAGATTATTGGCGTACTGTTCCATACGAGACAATAGATTGTCCAAAATATTGCTGCTTTCGTTGGCTCTGTCGGTGCGATACAGACAATAGACACAAACAAACATTATATATATTTATATAACTTATATATATTGTGTACTTTTGATACACTATTAGATTTAAAGGCATTATTTCGATAGTTTTACTGGATTTTCGGATAAAAGATAAAAAAGCAAATAAATGTAAGGAAAGCAAAAAAGTGAAGTTAACTCTCGAGTAGTGTTGCCATTCATTACATACTTATTGACTTTTCTCATAATTGATTGAAGAGACACAAAGTCAGGCCTATCGATGACGTCCTCTGACCAGCACTTCCTAATCATCGCCAGTATCTCCTCGTCAGCCATCGCGTCCTCCAGTAGCGGTCGTAAGCCCTCATCGCAAACGCTTTCAACGATTTCTGATGTGTTTTGTTGTCATTTCGGGCGACAATTAAATCGCAAACAATGCCAGAGTTGAGGCCAACAAAGGAAAAAGTTTTATTAACCGATCAAATACTAAACTAAAGCTTTTTTGCCTCTGATATTATGTTTGTTATGTGAACTACTTGTCTATAAGGACTGGTAGTTATTTGCTTACCTCTAGGACTTTGATCACAGTGAGGGCCACAATAGAAAGGTCCCTGACGTAAGATTATCTCGTGAGCTATAATTGCAAAGCTATAGACATCACCTGTAGGTTAATGACAATAATAACACATCAATTGTTTAGTATTTCACTTGACTATTAGTAGCACTTCTCACAGTCGAGTAATGATATGAAAAAATATATAACAATTGATATAAAAATCAATTTAATGTCAGAGGAGGGATGAGAGAGACTAAAGTAACTAAAGATTTGAAGCTTTCATTCAAACACCACTTTCTCCCCTAAAAATATACTTCAAACAAATGACAAGTTTTTTGATACCTTTTTGAGTGGGTTTAGGATAATGTTCTTTAGTTCGGAGTAATTCCGGAGCTGTCCATAGCTTCTCTGCAAAATCGTATATAATAATAGAAATAATGTTATAATAAAATTGGAGACAAAAACTAAAGAAATAAATTGATAGCTAAGAGATCGAGAGTGAAGTGTCAATGAGAGAGACGTCTCTCTATTCTCTCTGATATTAGCTATTATTATGAGACAAATAAAGAGCGGATATATTATGTGATTACTTCTCCAGAAGGCATAGGACTCGCAATCGATATCACACTTTCGCAGTGATTGCAGACCGAAGTCTGTAATCTTGAGGACAAATCTCGAGTCGACCACACAGTTGGAGGACTTGAGGTTCCCGTGACAATGCATTTCACTGCTGTGCAGGTATGCCATGCCTTTGATGATGTCGTGCATCAGTGAGTACCTGAACATCCAGTCCAGTTTGATCTCATCGTTCTCCAGTATGTCCTGCAGTGACCCTTTCGGACAGTATTCGGTGACAATACAGCAGTTGGGAGGGTCCAGACACGCGCCCAGAAAGCGCACCACATGGTTGTGCTGCAGGTCCTTCATCTGACATGTCATACAAATTGCAATCAATTACTATTAATTATTAACAATTAATTCTTTTCACGATTTCTATTTAGAAATATCATAAATGATATATTTATCGTTGAGTTATGATAACATTCTTGACTAGTCTTAAGTGAATTATTGTTTAGATTCTTCATTCACATTTTGGCTTAATTTTAGGACATTAAGCCTAAAATAGAGATTTATTTTCTATTTTTAGAATTGCTTTGTGTGTAAAACATCAAACAATTTGTCATAATATGATTGAAGTAAAGAAGAAAACAAATAAAAGGAATTTTTCTAAATTATTGGAAATCATTGATCCGATAGGAGAGAAAGAAAGATAGAAAGGGATGAAGAGAGAGAGAGAGAGAGAGAGAGAAAGAGAGAGAGTTGTATAATATTTTCACTGCTAATGAAACATAAGAATTCTGTAGAGATTTGTAAATAACAAAAAATAAGGGATAGTTTTAGTTAAAAAGAGACAATACGTGAGTGAAGTACAAAAGAGCAGTAAAAACAATAAAGAATACAAAAATACTTTAATACAAAATACAATTTCTTTTTTGAAATAGCAGTCGAAAAGTTATACGAGATGTCAAACAGTATTATAAGGGTTTGTGAAGTCAAGGATCAGGCGATCGTGGGTTCAGACAATTAACTCAATCGACAAATTATATTCCGTGTCATATATAATCAATGTTTACAAGTGTTTTAACGGCCACTAAATCTTATTTACTGTGAATGTGTGTGAAATGAACACAACATTCAGTGATGTATTCATTCAATACCCAATTGCGATGATTCTGTGCTATAAAAGCATATAATATCCACTGATGTGTATGTTTATGCTGAAAGTGGTATTAATATTCTTGACATCATTTATCTCGCTTTTTCATCTAATCTGTGTCTCTCTCGTGAAGTCGTATTCACCAATAAAACTCAATATTGAGTTCAAAGCCTTCGACACCTAATCTATGTTTAGGCCTATTGTTATATAAAATGAAAATAAATCATAATTGAGATCACAATTTAGTGTTAATCTCAATGAGAGTTGCGATGATAACATCGAAATTGTTTTAGCCATTGATGTGATCACGAGTATTGCATTTGCACTGAAAATAGCATTTATTTATCTATAAATTGAATGGAGAATAATATACTCGTAAGTGTTCTCCAAATTGCATATAATGTTCAAATAGACTGCATATGAGAGACTCAATCATCAAATAGTTGTTAAAAGTGGGAATAAATAGGAAAACTACAATACACTTGACTACTGGATGTTGTTATTTATTCTGTGCTCTGATTCTGTGTTATAATCAAAATATTCACTTAAGTATTAGTGAAGCGTTGGTGACAAATGAATGCAAAACATTTTAGTCTCGCGTTTTGCAGTGAGATATGAAAATATACTTAAGAAATGAGAGATGAGATCAAAAGCATATTTCGCCGCCATAACTAAATTGAATAAATCATAACTCATATCAAATATAATGTAAAAGCTTTGCCTAATATCAGAAGGGATGGCAGATTGGCAACTGTACGCTAAGTGGCAAATCGTGTCTAATCTATATTTTTAGTAAATTATTTATGTATTTATTCTCTGATTACATTGACGTCCAATGTATGACAATATATGACATATAGTGTCTAGCACACATTTCTTACGGCTAAGTTATTATATAATGACTTGAGATATATAATATTATTATTACACTTAATGATACTCGCATTCTTGACTTAAGAGGTCTTAAAATAACTCATTTATTAGTGATTTTCGTTAATTATTTATCTATAAATTGAATGGAGAATAATATACTCGTAAGTGTTCTCCAAATTGCATATAATGTTCAAATAGACTGCATATGAGAGACTCAATCATCAAATAGTTGTTAAAAGTGGGAATAAATAGTAAAACTACAATACACTTGACTACTGGATGTTGTTATTTATTCTGTGCTCTTATTCTGTGCTCTTATTCTGTGTTATAATCAAAATATTCACTTAAGTATTAGTGAAGCGTTGGTGACAAATGAATGCAAAACATTTTAGTCTCGCGTTTTGCACTGAGATATGAAAATATACTTAAGAAATGAGAGATGAGATCAAAAGCATATTTCGCCGCCATAACTAAATTGAATAAATCATAACTTATATCAAATATAATGTAAAAGCTTTGCCTAATATCAGAAGGGATGGCAGATCGGCAACTGTACGCTAAGTGGCAAATCGTGTCTAATCTATATTTTTAGTAAATTATTTATGTATTTATTCTCTGATAACATTGACGTCCAATGTATGACAATATATGACATATAGTGTCTAGCATTGTAAAGAATGCCGATTCAATAATATATTACTGAACTCTATATATTATAATAATAATGTGAATTACTATGAGCGTAAGAACTGAATTCTCCAGAATTTTATTGAGTAAATAATCACTAAAAGCAATTGAGTAAGAGAAACAAGAAAAATAAAATATAATATTTTGTATCACAAGAGATGGGTTTTACTCATGAAAGAGTGATTTATTTTGTAAACATATTCTTAGGATTTAAGATAAAAAAGAGCAGAAAAGACGAGAATATGTTTGAAAGAAGAGAATTCAGTCATATATTACTACAGACTTGACTACATTATTATATATTGTATCATATATTGTATCATATATTGTATTTATTTGATATACAATTCGCTCACATGTTTGAGTTCAATGAGTAGAGATCGGGTGATATCGACTCGCAATTTGTCAATTGGTTTGATGGCCACTACTATGCCTTTGTATAGACCCGTCCGCGCGAAGATCTGACACGAATTGTTTGTGTCAACCAATGGCAGTGTGTCCGATGATATCGACGTCTATATAGCCATACGAGTGAATAAATTTAAATTTTATTTTTATGCGTGCCGCACACAAAAAAGTCATTTTAAATAAGATTATGAAATAATATTCATAAGGATTTGTTTAGGAAAAAATAATTTGTATTTTAATTACCAGCAACTAATGAGATTATATGATACTTGTGTCACATTAAACAAAAAGCAAATAAACTTTTGAAAAATTGATTTTTGTCTCGGAGTATACTAAACCTTTTAAAACTGTTAGGCTTATACTGTGTTATAGCGAAAAATATGAGATTATATGATACTTGTGTCACATTAAACAAAAAGCAAATAAACTTTTGAAAAATTGATTTTTGTCTCGGAGTATACTAAACCTTTTAAAACTGTTAGGCTTATACTGTGTTATAGCGAAAAAACAGTAGATTCAATGAGCACTTAAGCCAAATATGAAAATTTTTAATCAATCAACTACTGGTATCACTTGTAAACTCTTGACTACCGAGAAAAAGTGAAAATTTTAATCAAATATTTTCATCTGACATTAAACTGTTAAACATATTATGGGACTCGCGGTATAATTATAATGAAAAACATTCAACTCGAAAAGCATATGATCAATATGACTTTGAATTAAATTTAATTATCAAAAACTAATTATCCTTTAATTCTTGATTTATTTAAATAATAACACGAATAAATTTGTTTTTATATTTGCTACACTTATTGTATATTTTAGCCATAGAAACAAAATTGAAAGTCATTTCTAACTAATCATCACTTTATGTAATATTTAAATAAAAGGAATTTTCAAAGAATGTAATTATAGTATAATAATGTATAATAAAATTCTAATGCCTTTAAATTAATGAGTTTTATAATTATTATTACTTTTAATTTTTGAAATTTTTGTCATTAGTCTTGAACACAAGGAATTAAAAGGAAATGAAACTCAAATATTAATGATTGGGAATATAATGGGAAATAAAGACTAAAAGCATATAAAATGAACACAAACTCGAGTTAAACTCATTCGCGATCCAAATCCCTGTCTGTTATTAATGCCGGAGTGTGTGATGATGTCGTCAAACCTAATCTTCCAGGTCATGGACGCCAACTCGGCCTCCAGTTTGTAGTGTCGGTACACAATGATGAAGACCACGAACAGCACCAGCAATAGACCGGACAGTATGCCGGAG